AATATAAGGTGTCTGTAGCTTCTGAATATGTAATTTTCTTATGTTTAAGAAATATAAAAAAATATAAATAGTACAGAATCTCTCTTAGTTTAAATTACGGCTATTGCCTTTTTTTTTTTTAATTATCATGCCACTGACTTGTATTCAGTGTATTTTTAGTAAGCATTTAAAACTTTCATACTGATTTTTTTTACTTTGAATAGACTTGCACAGATTTAGAAAAAAGCATACTTACTGTCAAGTATTTTGAAAACACAGTGAGGACTGTGAGCGATATCCAGACATAAAATACATTAAAATACAGATGTAAAGATGAAAGAATGTTTAGTGTCCCTAATTACCTACCCCCGCAATGAACAGAAGGTTGGCATTTGAAATAGACTGCATTTCCAAAATGCAATGAACTGGAAATCAAATAGACATCTCAAGTTTATAAATATTTGTTGATTTAAATCTATTTTCAATGTCAGTTCAATTAATTATTGCTGCCTGAGCAAATATATGAAATCTGCAAACAAAATGGAAGCCTAAGGCAAGACCTATACAGTCACCAAATGGCAGAGACAGGTGTGTTGAACATATATTTTAAGAAGCCAACGCATTGGACAATCTGCTTCTGACAATAACTGCTTTCAAGACCCTTTAGCAGGTATCAGCAGAATTGTTTTGTAATTTAGCGTGTCTTCCACTTTGAACACGGTCCCTAAAGGCTTTTGCACATGTCAGGATACCTACAAACACAATTCGTTTCAGGTTGACTATCCATGATTAACATTTTCCTCTACTGTCTATGACCTGAATAATTCCTTTTACTGAACTACACATCTAGTTTTCCTATCATGCACTGAAGATTAAAATCAAATGTTTTCTAGGTGTTGCTTTTCTTGTTTTGCTCTCTAAATGAAACACCTTTAAAGACCATTTAAATAAACTATGAAAATAGGAGGCTGTAAATATAGCTCTTAGGTGTTGCAGAAGTCAGTTAATTAAGGTTTATTGCAAAGATTCCTAATTATGAGAGTCATAGTCTTAAATCTATAATCTTATTTATCCAACTAGAATCAGAATAATCAAGGAATGTTTCTCCTAACTACAGCTAAGTGGTTCTAAGTGATTTGGAAAATTTTTCTTTTTTTCACATTTGTTTAATTGTAAACAGAGAGCAAACAATTAAGTCAGGGTTGTTTAATGTGGTTTCCTTAGTATTTCTTAAATATTAAAAAGATATATACATATAGTCAACTAACTACATGAAAGAAAAGGCAATTTGATGCAAACATCCTCTATATCCTCGTTTTCTAAACTGTGCGTACAGAGTAGTAAAAGCATAATTAATACAGTTGTCTATATTTTTTGGTCTCTAATATTTTATTACCTTACTCATTCAAGTGTCACTTCATGAACAATATTATTCTCCTGATTTTCTTTTTCTCTATTGTGACCCTGATAACATATCAGCATCTTCCGACAAATGGTTGATTCTCTAACTTGTCTTGGCTGCTTTGCAGATACCCACTCATTTCTCCAAATTTTAGGTTAAATCTTTATTTCCTTCCTCATATCCTGCTGTACTTCTGCAATATAGCCACCTCTTAGATGCTCTTGGTACATTAGTCATCAGCATCTAATCCCTCAATTGCTCAACTTTTGCTTGGTTCCTTCTGCTCAGAATTCTTTCCTTTCTCCCAGTCTCATTTTGCCTAGTCACGTTGTACTCATCTCTCAGGACAGAACTTAATTTAAATGCCAATTCCTCAGGAAGACCAGCCCTTATCCTCCAGATCTGAAGAATATATGCTCTCAGAGCACCTGGGGTTTCTCCTTGTGGGACTTATCACAGTACTAAGTACATATTTGTCAAACTATTTGTTCATTATCTGCCTCCCCACCAGAGTGTAAGATTCATAAGGGCTCACTCATCGTTGTATACACGTTTAATAAATTAAAGATTTATGAATAGCACATATCACTTTTCCATTTTAGAATTAAAAAAATGATCTGTAACCTACAGATAATGAGACAAATAATTTACTGTGGTCCCCTCAGCCCAACAAAATTATAACGTGCTATTAGATAATTCTGTGACGTGCCTCTCAAGTCACTTCAAAGAGAATTTCCAAAGATGCTGTGGAATGATGGGAAATCCCTTCCTCTATTTGCAACAGTAAACTGTTGTCTTATGAAGGCTATCACACAACGATGACAGCTGAAGTTTGGTTCTGGGATACTCTGGTTTCTATAAGCTCCGTTTTTACCCAACACTAGGATCTGACCCCTTCTGATATGCTGACTCCTTCTGAATATGAAAAGAGTAACTGATACATCCATGTATTGAGTTATTTCATAATGTTACCCTTGCCTGGAGTATTTGCATTTTAAAGATGTGACTATCTAACATCAGAATTTCAGAGACAAGGAAAAGGACCTTCTTGGTGACTCTCAAAATTATGACATGGATTGCTTAATAATATTATTTTTCCAGAACGTATAGTCTCAACATATGGATACATATTTTATTTTGAGCTTAATTTGTACCTTCTGCATTACAGCAATACACTTTTAATGAATACTCGCATTTTAAAAGTGGAAAACAATTCATATTCTGTCCTTCTGCTAAGTAGAAGAATAACTGAACTCTCTTCTAAGCCTAAATGAAAGGCTCTATATGTATTATATGAAATTATGTAAAGATATTTGCATATATACTTTATTTAAAGTGATATATTGTCTTTATCACCAAACACCAAACTTAACTATTTATACCGTGTAGTTAAGAATGGTTGTACTGGATTGTACTTTTTGATCAGGTGGCAGCAAAAAAGCCTTAGAAATAATCTGTTAAAGCAGAGAGGAGCAGAAGATCCTGAAGATATATTTGACAAGATTTTGTTGATACTATGGGAAAGAAGAAAAAAATAAAGAGGAAATAGGAATTCCATTTTGAACAACCATAAAGCAAATTTTGTGATATGGAGCTATCTGCTAAATGAAAGGGAAAGTTGCACAGAAATACAAAGATGGTGATTGTACAGTGCGCTACTTGGCTTTGCTTTATTTATTAGATGCATTTCTGAAGATTATCAGCAAAGTGAACTTATGTGTAATATTTTGAATAAAATGGTCACATTCATTTCAATGATGCTTTTAGTAGAATATTAAAGATTTCTTCCTGCATATTTTACAGGTTTAGTAATTTTTTTTAACTTTTTATTTTGCAATAACTTATAGACTCACATAAATTTGCAAAATAATGCATAGTGAGGTCCCATACACCTTTCCCCAGCCTCCTTCAATGTTAACTACTTGCATAATTATATGCAAAACCAGGAAATTGACATTGGTAAAATCCAGAGGGCTCTAGTGTGTGTGTGTATGTGTGTGTGTGTGTCTGTGTGTATACCTCTATGTAATTTATCACATATGTAGCTTCAAGTAACTACCACTACAATCAAGACAGATAACTGTATTATCACTACAAGGCTCCCCCTCCTGCTACCCCTTCATAGCCACATCCCTCTCTCCCTAATCCCTAACCCTGGCCACCACTAATCTATTCTCCATGTCTATAATTATATTATTTCAAGAATGTTATTTAAGTGAATCATACAGTGTGCATCTTTTTGAGATTGGCTTTTCCACTCAGCATAGTGCCCTTGAAGTTCATCCAAGTTGTGTGTATCAATAGTTTGCTCCTTTTTATTGCTGAGGAGTATTCTAACACTTTCAACACACTTTTATTTTAAATGTCACCATGTGCTGCCTTAATGGATGTATGGGCTGAATTGCATCTCCCCAAAATTCATATGTTGAAGTCCTAGCCTGAGTACCTCAGAATATGACTATATTTGGAGACAGGGCCTTTAAAGAGGTGATTAGGGAGAATGAGGTCGTATGGGTGGGCTTTAATCCAATACCATGGTATCCTTATAAGAAGAGAGTAGAACATAGTCACGCACAGAGGAAGACCACGTGAAGACACAGGGAGAAAATGGCTATCTACAAGCCAAGGAGAGAAGCCTCTGAATGAAACCAACCCTGCTGACATCCTAATCTTGGATTTCTAGCCTCCAGAACCGTGAGAAAATAAATTTTTGTTGTTTAAGCCACCCAGTCTGTGGCATCTGTTATAGCAGACCTAGTAAACAAATACAGTGTATGAGAATAGCTTTATCTGTACAAATTTGTCTCACATCTTTGTGCTCATATACAACAATACTTTCTGCTATAAGACAATCACTTGTGCATCCACATAATTTATGAATGCTTCTCAAAGGGAGTTTTTAAAATCTCTGAAGCATTTCCTGCATCACACTCTGCAATAAATCATGTTATGGGGAAATTAAAGAGAATATATACTTATAAAAATGATAGGACTATTCATGCCTAACTACATTGCAGTAAAAATCTATAGTGTTATAAAGGGAACATTTGAACGAAAGCAACTGGATTTTTTAAAAAGACAGTTTAACTATATTTTACAAACTGCACGTAAACAACAGCATTTGGACATTTCTGGGTATTTTTTGCTATTTCTTTTCAGAGTGGATCATGGTTAAGCATGCTGGCTGCAATGTTTTTACAGTACAGACAGGAATTATAATTAACATAAATTCTTACTATTTGTTTTATTTGACCTGGAAAAGGGATGGCAGTATAAGTGGGACAGCTGAATTGCAATTCATTTAGCAACGTTTTATCGATGTCTGACGTTTGCTGGTGAGTAATATGGACTGGCTCATTAAGTTATTGGTATAGGATTATATCAAAAACATAAGTCCTTAGACATCAGAGAGAAGCATTATGTCTGATTAACCATTCTATTAAGAAGTAACATCAGAAATATCTTTCTGCACCTTGGGAAACAATAAGAACAACCAGAAAGTCACCTCTGTGGTGTAGAGAGTATACAACTGCACCTCGGTGAATGCAGGTCCACCAGGGATATTATGCATCAAAAGGGAATTATGGGTCTGTGCTGAGAGAACAGCAGTGGAACTTACCGTCTTGATCCGTGGTCACTGTAATAGCTGTGAATGGCTTGGGAGAAAAACTCAACTCAGAAACTCCATTCATGGCTTCTATTTCAAAGGTGTAATTCACGTGAGACACAAAGTCAAGTATTATCACAGAACTGTTGATCAGGCCAGTATGTCTTGGGATGAAGCGGAGTCCTCCACCACAGTCCTCACACTGGCTGGTGTCTAAGCCACATTTCTTACAGATTACACTGTATGTGAGATCTTTTCTCCCTCCTGTGTCACTTGGTGGGCTCCATTCCAAAATAAGGGCTGTTTCATTGATGTTAAAAACCACATTCCTAGGAGCTGAAGGTGGCCCTAGAGAAAAGCAATTAAAAAACAAATGTACATGTATAGGACAATGAATTATGGTGTTAACTTGAAAACTTCAGCAATAAACATTTGTTGGTCTTTTATACTAGTTTGAGCTCTTTCTACTGATGGGAATCATAAAAACATATGGTTAAAAATATCTGATTAAGTCTAGTAAGAAAGGAGTCTTGGGGCGAAGATGGTCTATAACAACTTTTTGGTATATGAATTTCAATATTTAATGTTAAAAGCCACAGACCTCCAAAAGATATGGTAATTATACTTTTTAAATTTGTTGACTGAAAATATATAATAACCAAATATTATTTTAAATTTATGTGATGGTTTTAATTACATCTGAATAATTATATCATCATTTTCAAAATTTGAAAAAAAAGTGACATACATATATAAAACCCATTGTGCTCAGTCTTTCAGTCTTCATACTACGCTCACTGTGTAACTAAAACTCCCATTCGTTACCTTTGACAATCTCTAAGCATCTGTTTCTCACAGATTGAGAATAAATGACCATAATTTTAGGGCTGACAGTTTGGAAGAAGAGGAAGAGAAAGGACATTGGAGGAGGCACAAAGGTTCTTACTCAGGCCTAGACAATTTCATGGGCTAAAAGCATTACGTGGAAAGAAGAGAAGAGGGTGTACATAAGATATGGTGACTAGGCTTTTATCTAGGTTAACTTCACTACACATAAGGAAGTGTGTTGTTAAAAGCTGGTAAAGAGACCCGTACAATCCTCTTATTTGTCATTAAGACGCTGCATAAACCAAGCTGGCCATGGATGACAGATAAGTGTCTTCCCTCAGTCTTCTTTCTCGCTATTTTTCCCTATGGATCACAACGCACAGAGTACTTAATATCCTTTAACTATTCCAGCCTGTTCTTAAAATTGTGTCAAAAATCTTTTACACTTAGATCTGAGTCCCTGAGACTTCAGTTTCATACCATCCACTGAACAAATATTAACTGAAGGTCTGCTGGGTGCCAGGCACTGCACAGTGTGCCATATGTGGCACACTACAGAATCCTTTCCGCAAGAGACTGTGCTTATGATCGACATTTTGAAAAATAATTCATTGCATAAATAACTAATGAAATAACATTCCTGCCATATTTTAGAAGGCTTAGTTTTAAGAAACTTAAAGCTATTCTTTACATTTCTGCTATCATAAAGATTTGCTTAGAAGGTAGAAAGGAATTATCTGTGACGTTCTCTCCATAGAAAGAAATTCAAGTTTTGATATAGACTCCTTTTGGATTTCAAGATACAAGGTACAGTCATTTATTCATTAAATAAATATTTTTTTAGTGATTACTATGTGTGCCAGATACTCTGCTAGACCTTGGGCTTACAGTGTGAATGTGACAGACATTATTCCTGCTTTCTTCTTACTTACATTTTAGTCGAATGGCTACACACACACACACACACACACACATACACACACAGGTATACAGAAGAATAGAATTCAAATTATAATATGTGTGATTATGGACATCAAAAGGAGAGGAGCTGAAATGAAAACTCTCAGAAGGACCAACCTGAGGAACATTCTGAGGAAGCCTCACGGACGTGCTGAGGAGGACGTGCAGAGGGGTGGGAAGAATATTAGGGGTAGAAGGTGTGTGGCCTTTAGTCAAGAAAGATCTTAAAACAGCCATGGAACTGGCAGAAAACTCACTGTGGTGGAATGCAAAAGAAGGAAACAGCTAGTGAGTTTTAAGGAAAAAGAAGGGGCCGGATGATGCAAGACTGCGGGCTCACGGGAATGAGTCTGGATATGTTTCTACACAGAGCATGAAGAAACCCACATTCTACATGTGGAAGTGACGTGTTGTAAGGAGCTTTCTGCCTGCAGTGTGCAATGGTCCGAATGAGTCCGGGGACTTGGGAGTGACTGTCACACGGTGCTAGAGGAGCACAGCACTGGTCAGCCATCTAACGACTGTATTGGGGTTGAGATATTAAAAAGGGTTATTACATATTTCCCTTTTTCTTTTTGTGGGATCCTGATATCAGCAACACGATGGGTAGGGTCCTCAGCCACCAAAAGGTACATCACCTAAAGCTAGACCTAGAAATGGGACAATGAGTTTTTCTAAAAGATTTCTGAATATGTTGCTTTATGCCAATGGCTTTATGCCCTTTCATGTTCCAGAGAGTTGCAGAAATGCCTGTCTTCAGAAAGGAGGACATAGGAGGGATTATAAACGAGAGCAGAGGGACAAGTGTGGCTTTTTACTTCCAACCTAGACATACGTCTGGGAGATAAAGATTCACTAACATCGCCATCATAATGTCTTCCTACAGAATGACATATTCATACTGTTGCTCTTTTCTCTTATTTATAATAGAAAACATGAATTATTATTCACTCATATTTCCATGAACAGGAAGAACGTTATCAATTACGTTATGGGTGTCTGCAAGTATATAACTCTCCGCCTAGAGATACTTAAAAAAAAAAGGCAGACACCCTTCTTACTCAAGGGTCCTCATATCAATTTGCATGACGATTAAATAGCTTTTTAATTGCTGTTAAATTATGCCAACTAAACTGTGATTTCATGCAAATATTAAGCTGTAATGACATGTAGTGAATCATTTACCAAGATTTAGAACTTGGAACAAAGAGAGACAATTAATTCTAATCCTCAGATTCAACTAAATTATGTGTCACTGGGCTTTTATGAATGTGGCCTGATTGCTTTGTTATCATTTATAAATTACACAAAGATTATGTGACACACTGGGAAAAAAAAAAAACTTGGCAGCAATAACTCTTTTGGAGACATCTGTATTGAGAACTCTTGGGGATTTCCTTATGCTGATTTTTTTTCTTTTAAGAAAACAAGTAATTCACATAGAAGAAAAGCAATCTCCACCTTTCACCCTCCAGGCTGGCTTCATAAGAAAAGGGCAATTATTCTGATTTGCAACTAGCTGTTTTTCAAGCCCATCATATAATAAACCTTACATAAAAACTACAATTTTATTTCAACTAGTTTATCTAGAAAACACATTTTCAATCTTCTTCTCCTTCTTCTTCTTTATTATTTTTTTGCTTCAATTTGGATTCCCCCTTTGCACTTTTAAGGAATAAAGGAAGAGGGCTCTAATAGTAAGCTTATGAGAAGCGTTTGGCAGTGCTGTCTCTTCCCTTCCCAGAAGAGCATCTAGCCCTGCGGCCTCCGTCTTCCTCTGAGAGTAGCAGAGGCCAGGTGGGCTATGATTTTTGTTTTGTTTTACTTAATTTTAAGTGTTTATTTTTTATGTAAAATGTTTTTAAACAGACCCTTATCTCCCAAAATACATGCTGTGCAGTATTTCTAGTCCCATGAGATATCACACAAAAAATGAGTTCAGTGCTCACATTAAGACTCCTCTGGCAGATTGACACTGAAACAAAAGTAACACAATTTGCTTCACTTTGTTGAACCCAACATTTCTTAAACATTTGTTCATAGAACCTTTTTTCCAAGAAGCATCTGGAGGAACACTAGCATTCTACAGAACACTCTTAAAGAAAGCCTGACACAGAAGGAGAGAACTTAGGGGTCATATTTCAGTTACTCATAAACAAACAGCGGTCTTTTTCATATTGACTGGAGAGTGACTCTACAGCTAATGGTGGTTTGCAGATGCATTTTTTAACATTAAGAGCAATGAAACTTTGATCTAAATAATGGAGGATATCAAGTCATGAAAGGCTATTGACTACTAAACTATATTTTACCTGTTCTTTTTTTTTTGGTGAGGAAGATTGGCCCCTGAGCTAACATCCGTTGCCAATCTTCATCTTTTTGCTGAGGAAGATTCGCCCTGAGCTAACAGCTGTGCCAATCTTCTGCTATTTTGCATGTGGGATGCTGCCACAGCATGGCTTGATGAGCAGTGTGTAGGTCTGTGCCTGGAATCTGAACCTGTGGACCCCGGGCCGCCAAAGTGGAGCACATGAATTTAACCACTGCCACCGGGATGGCCCCCTTTTACCAGTTCTTAAGTTACTACCTGCCAATAATTTAAATGTGTTTGTTAATTTAATGGCTACCAAGACTGTAGTAGTACAGTTTCCCAATAAAAAGCAAACTTCTTCATATCTATGAGTTAACAAATCAGAGAAAAATTGTTCTATGTTAATCTATGTCAAAGAGAACATTGAAAAATATATTGAACCATCTAGAGATGTTTAGGCAAATGCTTTTGCAAATGAGTAAACTGAAGAATTTACTATAGAAATTTATAAACGTATAAACAAATGAAAAAGTACATCTCCAGACTTTAATAATGTACTAAAAATTTAAGTTGTCAGATTTGCATATAGACATAAAACTCTAAAAGTCATTTCAGGGCCAGCCCCGTGGCTTAGTGGTTAAGTGCGTGCGCTCTGCTGCTGGCGGCCCAGGTTCGGATCCCAGGTGCCCACCGACACACCGCTTCTCTGGCCATGCTGAGGCCGCGTCCCACATACAGCAACCGGAGGGATGTGCAGCTGTGACATACAACTATCTACTGGGGCTTTGGGGGGAAAATAAATAAATAAAATAAAATCTTTAAAAAAAATAAATAAATAAAAGTCATTTCATTCTTTGCATTATCATTATTAATTTTAACCTTTACCCATATCCATATTGTTAATCTAATATACTTCCTATATAATCTTTGAAAACTGTATTTAATAGGAGCAACTGTAAACAAATTTGGTATGCTTCTTTAAACCACTTTGTGTTCTATAAGTTTTGTTCATAAAATGTGTGTATATTTGGAAATGCATGACGAGTAATCACAAAACTGGGGTTTCAACCTCACCACAGGGAAGGAACTAAACCATTTATCCAGACAAAGAAATGAGGCCCAGGAGAGCACTGTAATTATGTCAAGGTCATGCATTGCAGTAGTGTAAGATGATACCTAGGTCTTTTATGTTTATATATTTTTTTACTCTACCACATTGTAATCATCCTACAGATAGAAAAAAATCTGG